ATAATTTTTGGAGGAGCATGCCTAGGTTGACCAGAACAGAGAAGTCATCAGCATCTCTAACAGTTCCTGACATATAATAATATAATAATAAATGTGTGTTGATTCATTGATCTTCTTGAATGTGGGGAGATAAGGTTGGGTAAGTAGAGTGCAGCTGGATTGAGGGGAGGCTTGGATGGCAGGTTAAGGAGTTGTATTTTATCTTGTAAGCAATTTCATTGTTCAGTCATTTCAGTTGTTGTCTGACTCTTAATAAAAAAAAATTTGAGCAAGAGAGTGACATGATTAAATAGAAAGATTTAAAGATTAAAAAAATTTTAGAAAGATTGATCTGGTGGTGGTATTTTGGATCTACTAGAAAAGGTTAGCTTAGAAAGGGAAATGATTGGAGGCAGGGGAAGGATGTAGAGGTCTATTTCAGGAATTAGGCATGAAATGATAAGAACTTAGACTACAGTGGTAGCACTAAGAGTGGAAAGAAAGGAGACCGGCCAAGCTTGAAAAATAGGAGAGACCAGTACAACCTAGCTGCCCTTACAACTACTCCAGTAATGATCTAAGAAGACTGTTGGACAGAGCAGTGATTGGGAAAAAGAAGGGGAAGCTACAGTGGGTCATTTTTCCAGTCCAAGATCACAAATTTCAATTTATAGTTGTGACCAAGCCAGAAACTGTAAAACAAGGGAGAGCCAGATTTATGGATTCAGCATCCAAAGCTCAGAGCACAAAGCTGACCACAAACTCAACCTTGGGCCCAAGCCAACAGCATGGAGTCATACAAAGCTTTGAGAGAGGTCAGCCCAGAGTGGAACTCAAACTCAGGATTCCCAGGCCTGTAAATAGGGACTAAAAAAGACTCAGTGCCCCAAGCTCTGAGCTAGGCTAGTAGCACTAATATGCCTAGAGCTGATCATGGACTTAATCCCAAGCCCAAGCCTACAGTGAGAGGTCTCCCAGAGGGTCCAGGAGCATGGGCTCAGTACCCAGGACCCCTAGCATGCAACCAGAGTAGATCTTGGACTTGGTGCCCCACTTAGGAAAGCAGCACAAGGGTGCCTCCCAGAGGGACCGTGTTCACAGATTTAGCACCAAAAGAGCTTTCAGCTAGTCCATCAATGCTGGATTGTCTTAAACAGATCTCTGGGGAAAAAATGACACTGCTTGCCCACAAAAGCAATTAGACTTCCTAGAAGAAATGATGCAAGAGTTTTAAAAGTTGAATTTAAAAGGTATCATAAAATGAAACCAAAGGAAAGAATTGGAAAAGAAATGAGTTTCTGAAACATGCTACCCACCTCCTCACAGTGAAGGTGATGGACTCAGATTGCAGATTGAGACATTTTTTCAGACATGGCCAGGGTAGAAATTTGTTTTGCTCAACTGTATGGATTTGTAACAGGAGTTTTGGTTTTCTTTCTTTCTCATTGGGGGAGAAGAGGACATGGGTGGGAGAGAAGATGGATTTTCATTGATTAAGAAAATGAAAGAAATAAGAGCTACAGAGGAGAGACCTGAAATGAAAATTGGAAACAGTAACAGTTTCTCTAGAAAGTAGCATGAACCAAACAGAAGTTAATGACTACATGAGACGATAAGAAATAGTAAAACAAAGTCAAGGGATTGAAGAAGTAGAAGAAAATGTAAATTATCATATGAAAAATTATTGACCTGGAAAACAGATCAAGTAGAGAAAATTTAAGAATCATTGGACTACCTTTTAAAAGCAATGACCAAAAAAAAAAGAGCCTGGATATCATATTCAAGACACCATGAAAGAAAAATAGGACAAAGTGAAGAAAGAAAGAATCCATTGATCATTCTGAAAGAACTTCAAAAAGAAAACTCCTAAGAATGTTATAACCCAAATCCATAGTTTCCGGTCAAAGGAAAAATACCATAAGCAATCAGAAAGAGTTTAAGCCCTGAGAAACCATAGTCAGGATCACATATGATTTAGCAGCTGTAACCATAAAGGAGCAGAGAGTATGGGATACAATATTCCAAAAAACATAAGGAATAGGCCTACAATCAAGAATAATTTTACCCAGCAAAACAGTATAACTTTACAGTGGAATGGAATGGAATGTAATAGAGGACTTCCCAGAGTCCCTGATGAAAAGACTAGAGCTTATTAGAAACTTTTAAATATCAACACAGGAGTAAAGAGAAACATAAAAAAGTAAATACAAGTGAACAATCAAAAAGACTTTGTAAGGATGAAGTGTTGACCTTCAAGGTGGGAGTAGAGATAGGAAAGAAAACGATCCAAGAGTCCTGTAAGAACAGTGACAGTAGCAGGGGTCGTAGAAGGAATCAAATAAGATGGAGGGCCTGGGAGTGGTTTCTGTTATGTTTTGTCTTAAAAGGAGAAAGAAAGGGACTGTATATGTGTGTGTGGCAGGGAGATACATTAAAAAAGGTGGGAGAAGGAATGGAGAAAGGCTTCTTTTTAAGGAATGCAAGTATAAGTTTATATAGACAAAGAAGGGTTGGGGTGAGAAGGGCTTCTCTTAAACCTTACTTTGAACTGATGATGTCGAGTGAAGTGAGCAGAACCAGGAGAACAATTTATACTATAATAGCAACGTTGTAAAAATGAAAATTTTGAAAGACTTAGGAACTCTGATCAATACAGTGATTAACTGTGATTCTAGAGGACTCTGAGATCAGAGGACCAGGGTTCAAACCCCCACTCCCTGTGTATCTCAGGTCCAGTCACTAAATCTCCTGGGGTCTTCACCATTTCTTTCACCTGAAAGTGGTTAGACTAGCTAGCCTTTGAGGTCTCTTCCAGCTTTAAAACTAAGATTCTGTGAACCATTTCTTAAATACCAGGTACTGTGCTGAACTCTGGGGATACAAAGAAAAAAAATGAAACTGTCCCAGCCCTCAAGAAGCTTACATTCAATTGGACTGATCCTTCTTCCTCTCAACAGGAGTAGACATGGGAGAATGTTATCTTCAGGAGAGAAACAGGTTTCAGTTAAGATAATGATATGAAGGAAAGAGAGAAGGAAAAGTTCTGAGATTAAGGGGAATTTGCCTACAGTGGAACAGGGATTCCACAAGGCATGGTAGAGGGGATGAATTGGGGAGAGCAAACTTAGGTTAGGGAGAGAATATGAATTCAAGGCTTATAAAAAGTCCTAAGCAAATTGGTTTACACTGGAAGCAGTGATTAAGGAGAGTTTAAATGAAGAAACTTGTAGGAAACAAGAACGGGGCTTCATGAGTCAGTGTTCCAAACAGAGTATTGGCCAATTTGAGAAATTCTAATTCATTTGTGTTTTTTTCCATCTTTTTACTTCCTTTCTCTCTTCTGTCATAAGAATTGTGAGAAGTAATAATTATGTTAGTAATAATAATGTGAAAATTTTTCAGATATTTTAGAAAATAGTTTTGATTAAATATCACAGTTTTTTTTATTTTAATATCAATCAGCCGTTATATTTGAGGACATTTGGTGACTATTTGAAAATTATTTTTAAATTGTTATTAACTTCCACACTTCAGTGAAAAGTCTGGGGAACAAAGGAAAAGTAACTAAGACTCTACCAGAACTGTTGAGCTATGTTGACATTATTTTTTCTGATTAGGTAAAGCAAGCAACAAACACCGTTTTGGGGGTTGTACACAATTCAAGAAACTGAGAGATGATGCCCTGCCTAGAATAGAAGTTGTATGAATGTTAGAACAGAGCCTATTTTCAAGGAAAAGTTCTGTAAATTGTAGTGTTTCTATTCAATTGTATTATAAGAAATCCCAGTGTGGATTTACTGAATTAACAGCATTACTATTAACACACAGAAATGCTTTCAAAGACATATGTATGCCAGGAACAATAATGAAAAATGAATAAAGTGAATGTTGAATGCATTCTACCTTACTGGTGTCCTTCCTTCTCTTTGTTTCTTCTCTTTTTTTCATTCTCGTACTACATTCTTCATTAAGCACATGAAGCTCTGTAGCTCTCTCCACAGTATCATTTGCCTTTGCTTTCTGAAGGATAAAAAAAATCAGCTTGTGAAAGGGAAAGGTGATACCAAGGGTAAACCTGTAAATTAATGCAAATCTTTCTCTGCTTAGTTAGTAAAAACATGCAATCAAATTTATGCAGAAACTGTTGATTTAAACCAAAAGAAACAATAGCTTTTGAGAACATTGAATGCCATTTTCTTATTCAAAGTGTTAACACATTGTTACTCAGTTTGGTAGTTCAGTGACTAAATCATTGACTGTTGTAATGTTTGGGGGCATAAGGAATATATTAGTCCTCTGTAAGGGAGGGGAGATATATTTGTCAAACCCAGGCCTTGTTCTTTCAGAAGTAGCAACACTCCCTTGCAAAATTCTGTTAAGTTTTTGAAGTTGCAGAGTATTAGATTTCATTACATTTATATCACTGAAAAAACTAGCTATAGGCTTTTAGAATCTGTGTTTAGCTTTTGAAAATAAAAGGTTCAAGTGATTCCTCTATTCTTTTTTTTTTAATTTTGTTAATAGTATTTTATGTTTTCTATTTTATTTATTTTATCTATTTAAAGATAATTTTCAGCATTCATTTTTATTAATTATTATTAATATTAATATTTAATATGATTTAATATTAATTAATATAATAATTATTAAAGTTTTTCTATTTTATTTATTTTATCTATTTAAAGATAGTTTTCAGCATTCATTTTTATAAGATTATGAGTTCCACATTTTTCTCCTTCCCTCTCCAACGGCAAGCAGTCTGATATAGGTCATTCTTATGCAATCGTATTAAACATATTTCCACATTAATCATGTTGTGAAAGAAGTGATTTCTGTATTCTCAATGAAATTGATTCTGTGAGTCTTTTCAGATTAATTTAGTTATTCCTTAAGCAAAATACAAAGACATTTTTGCTTGAGAGAGATCAATAGAATATCACTCCCGAATTTGAATAGTACACTTTTCATATATAGTAAGACATCACAAGATGAAGTGATTGTTGATTCTTTTCCCTTATCAGGTTTACCTGTCTGTCCTGAACTGATGAGGGAGCGTATTCCTAAAACCAAAGATGTGGGACACTTTTTATCTGTCACTGGGACAGTCATTCGTACCAGTATGGTGAAGGTTCTGGAGTATGAACGGGATTACATGTGTAACAAGTGCAAACACATTTTTGTGGTCAAAGCTGACTTTGAGCAGCATTATACATTCTGCCGTCCATCATCATGCCCCAACAAAGAAGGCTGCAATTCTTCTAAATTCACTTGTCTGTCAGGCTCATCTTCTTCTCCTACACGCTGTAGAGATTATCAAGAAATAAAAATTCAGGAACAGGTAAGAAAACTGGGAAATATGGAAGGACATAAATTAATTTGAAGAAATAGAATAATTTTTTACTCTCAATTATATTAAAGCTCCTGCTGTTTTGTTTTTTGTTTTTTTTTAAGGGGATAGAGAGCTGGGCTCAAATGAGATAATAATTGTAAAATGCTTAGCACAGTGCCTGGTACATAGTAGATGCTATATAAATGGTATCGATGATGGAGAAGATGATGATGACAACGACCTGGGTTCAAATCCAGCTTCGTACATTTATTAAGGGGTGACCATTGTTCAGCCTCATTTTCTTCATCTTTGAAAGGGGGATGATAATAACTAGCACTTCAAAGAGTTGTTTTGAGAAATCAATGAGATAATACATGTAAAGCATGTTATTAAGCACTTACTGAGTGCTTACTATGTGCCAGGCACTTAGGCAAGGAATTCAAAGAAAGGCAACAACAGTCCTTGAGGGAATCAGTCAATCATCAAGCATTTACTTAGTGCCTGCTATGTGCCAGGTGTGGGGCTAGGTGCCAGGGACACACCCATCCCTCCATTTAAAACAATCTCTGCCCTCATGTAGCTTTCAGTATTCTTTGAAACAAAATGTTTATATAGTGATTCATCTATAGCTTTAGTGAACTTTGAGACCTTAATTTGGTATGATTTCCCCTCTCTTTTATTCCCACCTAACCTAGCCCTTATCTTCTTCCCTTCTCATCTAGGCTGTTATAACAGTTTCCTAACTTGTCTTACTATCTCCAGTCTGTCCCTTCTCTCACTTATCTTTAATTTCTTCCTAAATAGTCTTGGTATAATTTTTTTATTTGATTGTCACTCTTCCTTCTCTTAAAAACCAGCTTCTCATTTCCTATCAAATAAAGCATAAATTCTTGATCTTGGTTGGAGGCTACATTTCTGGCCTTATGTCATAACATTTTCCTTGCTGTGTCCTACGTATTCCATTTTGTCTTGTCCTCTTCCATCTCTTTGCCCGTGCTTTATGCTGCCCCTCTGCCTGTAATGGACTCTTCCTTCTCGTCCCCCTCTTTTGAAGTTCTTCCCTTCAGTTCATGATCCAAATAAGATCCTACTTTTATGAAGCCTTCCATCTTCCACAATTGAAGGTAATCTCCTCATCCTAAGACTTCTCAGAGCACTTTTCTTGGACCTTTTCCATATATATATAAAATTTGTTCCTGCTTTTTCTCTCTGCTCCAGTTAGTTTAGAATCTTTTGGGAGCAGGAACCATGTCATATTTTTGTATCTTTAATATCTATTGCAGTGCCTCACACATAGTAGGAACTTGAAACATTTTGAAATAAAAATACCATAAAAAAATCCTCAACTTTGAAATTAACTGTGATTCATATTAGACAAACAGTTCTTTGAGAAATGGATTCTTTAGTTTGACAAATAGAACTATCAGGATTTAACCAGATGGCATTTTTTCCTTTGTTCCAGATCTGTGATTTCATTGGTTTGGGAAAACTCCTGGTCTTGAACTCCCTCTACCAATGCAGATAACCAGCTATTCTGCAATTTATATATTTAGAGAGTTGCCCAGGTCACTAAAGATGACATAGACAATACATATAAAAGATTGTATGTCAAAGACAGACTTGAGCCAAGGTCTTCCTGACTCCCAAGGCTGACTTTTTATGTAAACTTATTAAATATCCTTTTTCTTTTTTTTCCTCCTTTAGGTCCAAAGGCTATCTGTGGGAAGTATTCCACGATCTATGAAAGTTGTCCTAGAAGATGACTTAGTAGACAGTTGTAAATCTGGTGAGAATTAAGGGGAATTTCCTATATGCCCTTTTTGCAAAGAACTTTTCATTTTCCAGAACCTTTGAAATTATTAACCCTTATGTGGGGGTGGTGGAAATCAGGGGTGGAGATGGGAGAAGTGAAGTAAAGGCTTCATAGGATCGTAGATTTAGAGCTGACTTTAGAGGCCAGTAACAATAACGGTAGTAATAATAGCTAGCATTTATATAGCACTTTAAGCTTTGCAAATCACTTTACAAATATTTCTTTGTCCTCACAAAAACCCTGGGTGGTAGGTGCTGGTAGTGTCCTTATTTTTAAAATGAGAAAATAGAGGCGGACAGGTTAAATGGCTTTTCCAGAGTCACACAGCTAGTTATTGTCTGAGGCTGGATTTGAACTCAGGTCTTCCTGACTGTAAGCACTGTAATCTCTCCTCTGTGCCATCCGTTGCCCAGCAAATAACACATAGTACATAGTCAGTGCTTAATAAATGCTTGTAGATTTACTGTGTAGAATTTTGACATACTTCAGAGTGAAGGTTGTGGTAAATCACTTGGAGATTTATCAGATAAGCATTCAAGATGGATCAAAACATTGCTTTCTAGGCTTTGAGGATTCCTGTTAGTACATTCATTATTAAAAGAATACTTTTAATAAGTTTGGAAGAAGTTTAAAATTACTACATCATTTCTATACATTTTGAAAAAAAAGTCTTTTGGTGTTCTATACAGGAGGAAACCACATTTCAAAAAAATCTTGACCTACATTAAGAACACATTAGCTATAGACTGTATTTTCAAACCAGTAAATTGAAGGATATTAGTTAAGAACCATAGTGCCTGAGAGAGTAAATGCTGTTTTGTTTTTCTATTTTAACTGTATTTGAATGCACTCTCAGATATTTTAAATAAAATTTGCTTTTTTCACATGCTGTGTCGGTGATTTCTGGAGTGGGGCTGGATATATACATATATGTGTGTATGTGTGTATGTCTATAAAGAATGTTTACTTCATTTGATGGGAGTTAGAACATAAATAAGGCACTGTTCAGCTCAGAGCTAATCTCAGGGCTAGCAGAGTAATAAACTTCCAAAAGAACCTTCCGTGTAACTAAACGAGAATTAGTAAGTAAATGATCATCTACCTAGTCACCTTTGCACATTTCCTTCTTCCTTAGAGGCCGTCGCCGCTCCCCGCTCTATGGAATTTACTGAAGGTCTTGAGGAGATAGTACCAGCTCTAAGACAACAGATCTGAAGGTTTTTTTATGCTTCATTAGAGCACATATAGTCATTATTCTGGGAGACAGCCCGGTCTAGTGGGAAGAGTGCAGGATTTAGATTCAGAGGGCTTAGGTGAAAATCCTGGGTCTGCTACTTAACACTTGCTTGGATGACCTCAGGCAAATCACTCAATCTCTTGTTGCCCCACTTTGCATATCTATAAATGGACAGTGTTGGACTAGAGGTCCTCTTAAAGTCTCTTCTAGCTCTAAATTTCTGATCCTGCTATTTTCTGTCCCCTTGGGACTGACGTTTCCAGCTAAAGAAATAGAATGGAAATTTATTCCCGTCAGACCTGGATCTCCATTCCCCCCATATGCTTACAATCCTAACTCCTACCTCTCCAGGGGGAGGCATAGGAGAAATGCTGATCCTTTCCCCTTTCCCTGACCAAGCCAAGTATCAGGAACCACACTAAAGGTTGTTCTCTTTACTGAGCAGCGAGATAATCTACTGTGATATTAAAAATGAAGGTGGAAAAGGGAAACAGAGAAAGCTGACAGATTATAGATGGTTAGAGTCCATCTAGTTCTGCTTATTTTGTAGCAGAAGAAGTTGAGGCCCAGGAAGGTTAAGTGACTTAATGGTAATAGCTAGTTGTTATATGGTGCTTTAAGGTTTGCAAAGTACTCTGTACATATATTATCCCATTTTGATCCTCACAACAATCCCGTGAGTAGGTGCTGTTTCTTTATTTTAAAGATTAGGAAACTGAGACTTAAGAGAGATTAAATGACTTGCACTAGGTCAGTAGCTGGTAAATATCTGAGGCAGGATTTGAAGTCTTTATGACTTCAGGTCCAACACTTGAAGGTAGCCACCTAGCTACCTCATGACTTGTCCAAAGTCACTTACTGAGGTAAGTGCCTCAGAGGCAGGATTTGCTATTCTACTTTAAACACCCTGCTACCTACAGTTTAACTATAGCGCAGATCTTCATGGCTTTTTTGTTCATTACCTTTCAACTTCCCTTACCCCTCTCCAACTTGCATATTACAAACTTCTACCTAAATTCCCATGTATTCACACCAAAAGCAAATAGAACAGTTTGTCCAAACAAAAAGGGGTTTAAAACTAGCATGTCTAGTCACTTTATCCTAATCCACAGCTTCCTTTTGCATGATCTAAGATGTCCCCTATAGTATGCTGAAAGAGAATATTTTGTCCTTCCTTCTACCCTTGACTGTTCCCGGTGATCAGTGAATAACTCCTGAGCTGATGTTTTATTAAAATGATTACTTAGGAACCATATCATTTCATGGAAGCCACCAATCCAAGCATCTATGACCAGAAAACATTCTTTGCCGATATAGACATAATGCATGTATCTATATGTATATGCATATATACACACATGTATGCATATATTTATCGCCAACACATTTGAAAAGCGTGTCAAATTTAATTTAAAATACATAATATTATTGTATAGATAACTTAGAATAGCTACTTCATGTAGGTAGCATAGTAAAACAATAAAATTTTTGATAATTCAGTGCTAAAATAAAAAAAGATTTGTGAAATCATCATTTGTCAGACTTCCAGTTCAAATGGAATTTTTCATAGCTATTGTTAGGATGGGATGTCAGCTTAGAAATGGAAATAAGCTAACATAATGCTATTGATTGAAAAAAGGATTCTATCTCCAATAACATTGTATAGGACCTTTCGCTCTCTCCCAACTTCAGTATGTTCTCAGAACCATACTAAGTTCTTTAGGGAATATTGAAGTAGTATAAGGCATAGTTTCTGCCTTCAAGGAGCTACCAATCTTGTTTGGGACATAAAATGTTGATATTTCAGTGGTTCTGTGAATCTTCTCTGAGTATTCCTTTCATCCATGCAGACCACAGTCCATCTCTGTCTTCTCATTCTGTGTGACTTCTATATATCCTTTCTTAAATCCTCTGCTCAAATAGAAAGAAGGCCACTAGATCATAAGGAAGCCTACAGGCCACATGTTGACTTAGAAAACTACATAATAACATTAACTGTATTCTCTTGTATTTTTATTTATTTTGTTAAATTTTCCCAATTACATTTTAATTGGATTCAGACAGCACTTGGGAGCATGTTTAGGTCTGCCCACTGTTTTAGGGCCTTCCTCCATCTTTTAACTTTGGGTACGAGTGATACAAGCAGGGATTATCTCTCTCTCTTGCTGTTACACGACCAGTCTTTTTCTCTTCTAGGCATACATCTCTCTGATGCTTGTCTTTAATCAACTGCTCCTACACAGTGCTCTGTGTTACAGCTTACTTACATCCTCTCATGTGCTCTTCCTACTCCCCCTGCATTCCATGTGTATCTGTTTCCCTTTGACTGATGTACAACTTTAATGCTTCAGACCTGTGATGTTATTCCATGACTCCCAGCAATACAATGTCGTTAAGAGGATGTGGATGTTAAAAAGATGGGATTTGGTTTCTGGGAGAAGCTTGGGGTCATTAAAAGCACTGTGCAGTTTCCATAGTCGAGTTCACTCTAGTACTGATTTTCCTAAGTGGATAGTTAGGTACAACCTGTAAATCACAGAATTTCAGATTTAAGAAGACAGCCGAGAAGTCATTTAGTCCAGCCCTTACCTGAAAAAAAGAATTCCTTCTACCTTGTATAGAACAAGTGATTACGTAGCCCGGTGTGCTTAAAGAATTTCAATGAGGAAAGAGCTGTTTATATCTTGGGGCAATGTATTATGCTTTTGGGTAGTTCTAATTTTAGGAAAAGTTTTTCTTTGCATCAAACCTAAATTTGCCCCTTTACAACTTCCACTCCTAGTTCTGCTTCCTGGGACCAGAGAACAAGTCCACTGCTCTTCCACGTGAACCCTTTGGATACACACAAACACATGCACACGCACATACACCCTCCCTCAAGTCTTTTTTAGGTTAAAATACCCATTTTCTTTAACCCTTATGTGGCATGAACTTAAACCTCTTTTTATAATCATAGGTTCCTACCTTTGGACTACTGCAGCTTATTTCTACCCTTGTTTAAAAGTGGTATTGGTGGAGCACAGCCAGATGGGGTGATGTCATCAAAGGAAGTCCAACACTTGTCAAAACCCCATTATTTCTCTGAATTTAGTTTGATCCTCCAACCTGCTCCCATCTTAGCAAATCTAAGTTGCAAAGGATAGACAACAACCACTCAATTATATTCACACTCTCTCAGGGTTCTAAGGGTAACCCTGTTGAGGGTAGATACACTTGTATTCACTGCTTTAGATCTTGAGCCTCCATCTCATGCATTTTCTGTCAGTACGATCAGCCATTCAGAAGACAGTGCATCCACACAGTGTGCAATATTGGAGGTAAATACATAAAGAATAAATGAAGTCACAATATCCATATAAACTCATACCACACACTCAGTGCATTCAAAGACTATGGTAAAAATTGGGCACACACTTAGAACCATGGAAACACATAAAGGAGGAAGACTAACGCTTAGGGTACCACAGCTTTAAATTGCCGGTTTTGGTATTACTGGTCCATTCATAAACATCCATACCACATAAAACTGCTTCTCAACTCACTACTTGGTTATTGATCTTCACCATTCTTCAGCCAGGGGAATCATCTTTACTTTTGTCAGTCAATGAGCATTTATTAAGTGCCTACTATGAGCCAGGTACTATGCTTCTCCAACATAGCTTTTTAAGTTTTTCAATTAACCATCACCATTTGTTGTTCAGTTATTTCAGTTGTGTCTGACTCTTTGTAACCCATTTGGGGTTTTCTTGCCAAAGATAATGGAGAGTTTTGCCATTCCTTCTTTGCCTTATTTACAAATGAGAAAACTGAAGCAAACAAGATTAAGTGACTTGCCCAGGGCCACAAAGCTAGTAAGTGTCTGAGGCTGAAATTGAACTCAGGTCTTTCTGAGTCCAGGCCCAGTGCTCCATCCACTGGGCCACCTAGCAGTCCACTATCACTACTAAAAGGGTTTTAAGTTCTTAATGGGAGTAGCAGTTTTTCAGC